AAAAATTATAGCAGCATATGCATAATATAGTTATATATTTAGTTAAAAATTAGTTATTAAAGTTGAATACTCTAGAAAAGATCCCTAAAGTTCCCAATATTTTATTTATATAGACTTTCAGATTAAAATATTATAATAAATTTTCTAATAGATCTTTAAATTCATAAAATAAATTTGCCTAAATTAGAAAGTATACCTTAAAATTAATTAAATTCCAATTATCTTGCCTTTACATTTGGAGTTATATCTTTTGATTTTTGCCTCTCCTTTTATAAATTTTTGCATTTTAAAACAAGGCTTCGACCCTAACTCGGAGCTGTGAAACCAATTCTGTGGACATTTTTGCAAACAAAAATAAAATAGGGGGGCTCATGTTGATATTTCCTATATTCAATTTGGTTTTAAATTTTATGGACGTGCAAAAAATATTTTATCTACAAAATCTTATTATAATTTAGATTTTAAAAATTTATGATTATAAAATTAAGAAAGTTGATTCACATTTTTGAATCTTAACAGAAACCAGCCCGTTTTATTGAACTCATTTTGAACCTAAATGGGATTAGTTTTTTTATTCTACACCCGAACATCCCCAAAATATTTGTCCTGCTTTAGTATAATGTTGGATGTTTGAGTAAAATATGGCATTATTGTTATTATTTTGATCGTTGCTTGGAAGGGAATGTTTAAAAGTTATTTTATATGAATTGGATATTAGTCCGTTAGCATTAACTTGAATTTCACTCTTTGCATTTCTAGAATTTAACTGTCTGCATTTCTATCATATTCTATAAGTTTTAGACGTCTAATTAAAAATTGTTAGGATATTTTAGAATTTGAATTAAAATATTCTGAAACAATTTCAAGATTTTGAATCTCGGATCAAGTAATGCCGTAAATTGCTAATGTTCAAAATATTTTAAACATATTTTTTTAATAAAAATATTAAATAAAAAATTTATATATCAAATAAAAAATTATTCTATCATATATTAAATTATGCTATCAAATATTAAATTATTATAAATAAATTAATTGCAATTCGGTTATTGGAAACCTATATCAAGTTTTTGTGCATATTTTCTTTTAGAAAAATAATATCTGAGCTATCCATTGATTTATATCAGGGACATGGAAAGGAACTTTGAGTAAATTTATGGAACGGGATAACCGCACCATGTATTCTGGAACCTTCCCGGTTCCTGCAATTATTATAAATTTCTTATTTATTTCTATAATTAAAAAAATAATTTGTTTTAATCCATGTAACAGGTGAGTTTAAGTTCTTTTTATTTTCTAAATTCTTACAAATAGTACACTATAAAATTTTATTCTCAGATAAAGTTTGAAAAACTGTAGAAAAATGGTGGCCTCATTAAAACCGTTAAAAAAGCAAGCTCAATGTTTTAAAAAGAGAGCTTACCAGGTGACTTTATAGATCAATGAACCAAATGTAAAATAAGGCCTAAAAGTTTAATTCCCTGTTATAACAAGTTGATTTCAACTTTCAACAAAAGGGAAAAAATGCTAATGATTAATTACTTTGTCCTACCTTACATCTAGATCCTAGACTTAAATCTCTTTTCAACGAAGAGGAAAATAATATAGCTATAAAATTTAATGGCGACGGGAACATATTAAAAATTTTAAGAATGAATAAATATAATAAGTAATTCGGATAAATCTTCTAAAGAAGTATAAGTATTTGATGAATTAGAAATGCTTCTATGGTCAAAAGATAAAAGAGAAAACATACCAAAAATAACAAAAAGGATGATACTCTAATAGCTATAAAGAAATATCGAGGGTCCAGATAAATTAAAAAATTTTCTAGAATACTGGGAATACAATAAAAAAAAATATCCTGTATGAATTGGCCCAAATCGTGTTAGCAACTTCATGTAGCAATATAAGTGTTAAACATTGTGTTTTTGACATTCAAATTTATACCAACACCACAAATAAAAAATATAAATGATAATCGAGAAAATAAATTATTGAGTTGTAATAAGATTCATTTAATAATTAAATAAAGAGTAATTAAAATGTTTAGATTTTAAAAAAATAAATTTAGATATTTTTCTAGGAACGTTCCGAAAGGTGAAACGAAACTAAAAGGGAATAATTTTTTGACCTGAACTAGAACGGAACAGGAAGGCAAAAAATCCCATTGTTCTTGGTCCCTGATTTATATATTTATTTTTATTACACTGCGAAATAATAAACCTAAATTCATTGTTGATCCCATTTGAGAAAGAAATCTACAGTGAATGGATTTAGTAATGCGAAGCGCCAAATAGATCCCATTCTTTTTGAAAGGTTTTAAAGAATTTTTCCCTATTTTATTTAGCATATTATTTTTAGAACTTTTGTTGGCATCACGGATACTTTCTTGCATGATTAGTCTGCCGTCAACGGGTAGGACATCTTAATTTTAAGGTTTTCATTTAATTCGATCAGTTGGTGTATTGGAATTTATAGTATCCGCCTCTCCAAAGATATTCAAAGGAGGTTGCAAATCCTGGCTCATGCCAAGCCCGGTCCTTTATAAAAATATTTAATTTGCTCAGGGCGGCCTGTTAAAAATCTTTTTTTAAATTTTCCCGGCCCATAAAAAAATTATGAACATTTATGCTCAGTCCGTTAAAGCGAGCTAACAGTAAAATCAGGGTTAAACCTATAAGCTGAGTTTCAACTTATGGAACAATATTTTTAGTAATACTTGGATAAGCCAGTTTGAAGTTGTAGGTCAGGCCACAAGTACCTGTGCGCGCAACAGCCCGAAGACTGTCATTTAAGGGTCTATAGGTTGCAGCGTCTACATGAGCGGGAGGGGTAAGAACAGTGTACATCCTATTTGTTTAAGGGGGTAGGGGGTAGGCTGCTTTAATGGGGGTAGGATAAATGTTTGGAGGGTTATCTATTAAATTTTGAGATGAAATAGGACAAAATTTATTGCTGTAAAAATTAATACTTTTATTATAGAATTATTACAATACAATTCATCGACCAAATCTATATATTGCAAACAATCATTTACATTGTTTTCCAAATAAAACTTTGTGCTATCCTTTTAAATATAATTCAAAAGGTTTAGATATTTAAGCCATAATGCCATAATAATTAATTAATTGTAAATGGAGGTTTTAATTGAATTTATTATCTAAAAAAAATTCTTTATATTCACAAAATATCGATAGTTGGTAGTAGAGATAGATTCATTTAAGTTATCCTTTATAAATTCTCTGAAAAGAGTATCAATAAATTAGAAAAGTGAAAATAATAATAGAGAGACGCCGCCGAAGGCGGCGCAAATTTTTTATAGGGGTATGCAAAGGTTTTTGAAGAGGGTTTGCATCTAGTGAAAATCCTGTCATGTAGACGCTGATAGGTTGTTAAAAATAGTTAGGCAAATGAAAGCCTATACCTAAGAATTGAACATATATTTATTTTTTTTATGTGGTAAGGGAAGGACTAATTTATATTTAGTAAATTTTGTTTGTCTTCTAAATAAATTGAAATTCTTGTGTCATTCTGTCTGAATGTATTTACAACATATAGATATAAATATTAAATGTAAAATTAATACCAATACCAAATATACGTATTAATTACCATATTTTTGAATATTTTAATGGATAATGATCTAGTGTCCTCAATTAGTGTTGTTAAAAAGCCAGATTTGGATCGATTGTAAAAACCGCCCGATTAAGTTTATAACCAAAATAACATTATGCTAGCTTAAAGATTTTGCTCACAGCCAGCGTCTACATAAGCGGGAGGGGTAGGAACAGTTTGCATCCTATTTTTTTGAGGGGGTAGGGGGTAAGCTGCTTTAATGGGGGTAGGATAAATTTTTTTGGGGGGTTATCTATTAAATTTTGAGATGAAATAAGACAAAGTTTAATGCTGTAATTAATGCTTTTATTATAGTATTATTATAATACAATTCATCGACCAAATCTATATATTGCAAACAATCATACACATTGTTTTTCAAATAAACCATCCTTTTAAATATAATTTAAAAGGTTTAGATATTTCAGCAAGCTCATAATGCCATAATAATTAATTCATTGTAAATAATGGAGGTTTTAATTAAATTTATTATCTAAAAAATAAATTCTTTATATTCAAAAATATCGATAGTTGGTAGTAGAGATAGATTAATTTAAGTTATCCTTTATAAATTATTTGAAAGAGTATCAATAAATAAATAGGTGAAAATAATGATAAAGAGACATCTCCGCCGAAGGTGGTAGTGATTTTTTAGGGGGGGGGGGGGTAGGCAAAGGTTTTTGAAGGGGGTTTGCATCCAGTGAAAATCCTGTCATGTAGACGCTGCTAACAGCTAGCAGAAATGCTTCGACATCTATTAAAGAAATCTCGTTGCTTACATAATATTATTTTAGCTAAAATTTTAATAGGGCCGTTTTGAAAAATCGACCCAAATCGGTCTTTTTAAGAACACTAATATTAGTCGATTTTTAAAACGGCTCGATTACGATTTTTGCCAAAATAATATTATTATAAGTCTAAAGATTTTACTCATAAATGTCAGGAAGCTTTGGGTACTTATTTGCCAAATTTTGAGGCTTACATAATATTGGTTATAATCTTAATAGTGCCATTTTTAAAAATCGACCCAACTCAGATCGTAACAACACTAGTCCTCAATATTTGTCGCTAAATATTACAGTAACAATTTATAAAATATATAATGTGATGTTATACTACGATATGCTCCTCAAGAGTCAAGTGTGTAAAATATTTGATAGTTTTCGAGTCCACATTCTATAAAATATGGAATATAGCATATATTTTATGAGCATTCTGAAGCCGCTATAATAAGTAGTATTTTTAAACATTACATGCTAAAGTCTACATTCTTAATATGAGGGGCACGGAAAAATAATAAATTATTATCATTATTTTTTAAACTTACTAATATGGCATTTTGATATGTAAAATGTTGTGATAGGTGTCAGGCAATCTTTTGATTTAGCAAAACTGCAGTAATATGTATGAGTTCAAATTCAATGCAAAGCAATAACTTAATACAAAATTTCAATTATTGCATGGATTTAGTAAAGTAATTAAATATTATATTGTATTATATTTTTTACTTTAGGAGAACTGATTATGAGAATTATTTATGCACCTTATTGGCACCTAGCAGTGTTAAGGAACTACTATTTGTGCTGCACGCCTATAATTCAATATTAAGTCAGGTAAAATGAAAAGATAATGCTTGTTATGAAGATAATTTATTAATATTATACTATGGATTATATAAATTTAACTTATTTGAAAATATAGATTTTAGAACAAACCAAAATTAAGGAGACTTCATTGATGAGATTTAAATTTTGGGATGAAACCATTAATAGAATTTTTGAAACAGATTCATGTTCAAGAAATCCAATTGCCAGATCACTTTTAAATGTAATTATTTTAAAGTTTAAATCTAAGTCATTCTTATTCTTTTATTTATATGATTATTCATTATCAAATTTATTATCTTATTTATTTTGTTTAAAACTTCTGATGCTAACTTATGTATTAATTTTTATGTTTTATATAAATCTAAAGAGGTCAACATGGCTGAAGGCCTATCAAAATTTTATATCAGGTTTTTTGGCCTAGATTATTATTTTTATCTTGTTCAGTCTATATATATATTGTACAAGTTCCAGGATAGCCAGGAAAATTTTTATGAAGGAAAACAAAATAAATTTGCCTAATTAACAGCTTTAAAAACATTTTCAAAACTTTTACCCATCCTATAAAAATATTTTAAAAATTTATCTTGCCCAGCCCTAAAATATTTTTCTCTGAAATTTAAGGCAGGGATGTGCAAGCCTCTAATATATTGTATTTCAGAGACCTGCAGAGGTACTATTTGCATGGCCCACCCAGATTTTTTTTTTTAAAAAAATAATTTTTTTTGCCCCTGTTTTTATAAAAATGTATTATATTTAATTTTTATAGATAGTGATAATTTATTGGCCTAGCTTTAGTGTTGTTAAAATAGCTATAGCGCGCTACTTTTTTCAGTAGCGGTAGCTTTAGCTGGCTACTTTTTTTAGAAAATAGCAATAGCGGTAGCTCACTACTAATGTGCTACTTTGCTACTTTGCTATTTTCAATTTTACATAATAAATACATCTAAAAATTATTAAAATATATTTTTTATTAAATCTAAAATTATAATCTATTTTATTTAATTTTGAAATTTATATTTAAAAATATACATTATAAATCTAGTTATTATAAATGTGTGAGATTGTTGGAGATAGTGAAATTTCTTTGAAAAATGAGAAAATATAGATTATCCTTTCCCAAAATTCAAAAAATACTTGAATCTTGAAGAAAAAATTACTACTGGATATCAGTTTCGATGCAAGAAAATTTTGCCAACCACTGGTAGAGTCTATGCTAAAAGGCATTGAGAAAAGGTCAAAACTTTATTTTTATTTTCTATTATACAATTATATAAAATGAATGATTTATTGCTTGATTAGCCATAATTTAAATTGGCTTAATTTACAACACAATCTATAATATTAATATGTGTATAATAATTATATTTTTAAAATCTTTATTTACCATAATTTAATGCTATTTTAATATTTTTTTATAAATGAATCTAAATCTCAGATAAATTTAAATTTTGAAAATTAAAAAGGTATTCTTCTTATTTTATAATTTATACAATTGCTTTATATAAGTTAGATTTCCAGATCTGTATGATGATGATAATGTAATAGCTGCTATCGTTCATCCTAGTTTCAAGTTAAATTGGCCATACATTAATTTGATTGAATCTAAAGGGCAACTTGATAGGCTGATGGTAACGTTAAAAAATGCCATGCCTAACCACGATACTAATACTATAGCAAGATCAAAACCGCGGCCTTCCATAGACGAATTTTTTGAAATAAATAATAATAATATTATTGAACCTCTAGATGCTTTTTTTAAATCTAAAAATACTCATTTAGAATATCTTTGATGATTTTTTTTCATATAAAAAGTGTTTATTAAATTTAATACTGTGTTGCCCTCAAGTGCTAGTGCTGAACGATTATTTAGTATGGCAAAGTTTATACTTTCTGATCGCTGAGTACAAAGTGCAATATTAAATAAATTATATATATATATATATGTAACAAATTATAGTCAAGTTTTTATACCAATATTTTATTTGTGGAAATTAAGTTATGTAAAAAATATATTTAAAAAAAATCAAAATAGCATAAAAAGTAGCTAATAGCGTGCTACTTTTAAAAGTAGCGTTTAACAACACTGCCTAGCTCAGGTATTTTTTTTACAAAAATTTTTAGGCCTGGCTTGGCCTGGTATTTAAAAAAATTTAAATACAGCCCTTCTCAGGCCAGGCCTGCACATCTCTGGCTTATTTTAAATAATTAGCAATTTAATGATAAATATTTTTTCTTAATTATTTCACCCTTATTACAACCCATATTATTTCCAAAATATCATTAAGCAAAGGAAAAATCAAAAACATATTTTTCTTAACATATTTTTCTTGAAAAATATTTAAAAAAACATTCATTACATTTCAAAATAGGAAAATTACATTAGTGTTATGTTATATAATGTAATGCTATGTAACTTTTAACATTTTTTTAGCTAAAGATATTTTTTTTGATACAATGCATAATATAATAAAATGTTTGCCATTGGATTTAATAATTTGGTAATTTTTAACTCTTATTTGTTTTTAAATGTTTTGTATAAGTTTTTATTCCAAATTGGAAAGAATTTTAACATTAAAGAATATAATATTGGTTAATTAAAAAAATTTTCATTAATTTTAAGAATTATTTTCAAAATTATTATCCTATATGCACTATATGCAATGGCATTTTTTAGTTAAAACAATTTTCTATGCTAAATATGTATTCCATCAGAGCCTATAATGATATTGCATGCAGTGTTTATTTAATAGATGGTCTTATTTCTGGGTATTTGTTGAAAATATTTAATGTTATCTTTTGCTTAAAAAAATTTTGGCAGATGATTATTGTCCAAATTTTCTATTAAATATTTTTAAAAAAAGTAGAGATTTCAGAATAGGCTCTGTGTTCTGAAACGTTTTTCAGCAAATTACTTTAAATATGATATTGATTAATTTATTAATATGTGAAAGCCTTTCAAGGTCATTAGAGTTTATAAGTATAATTGATTATAATTTAACTTTTTTATACTCGTAGTTGACAATAAGTTAAACACAATTTTTTAAAATTTGAATAATATAATTGTTATTGTAAACATCAAATAGCCGAAATGCATGTTATCTTCACTTTCTAGTAACGAAATACTTATTGTAATTAGGCAATGGCAAGGATATAATATCTTCTGAGTCTCAACTATAAATTATATCTAGACCTGTGCACCGACAGCATTATTGGCCGGCCTTTCTTTTTTAAAACGATCGGCTGACGGCGGCGGCGTCAAATATTTTTCCAACTTAAATTTTTTAATTAAAATTATAAATTCATTGGAAACACTTTTAAAATAAAATTTTTATGTTTATAACTATAATTTAATGATTTTATTAAGTTTTAATTATCATATATAAATATTATTTTATTTAGATTAATAGGATATAATGATGATCTTTTAGAGTTCAAAATGAGCCCAGCTATGATAAATACACGTTCGCTGGGTGTGCTCATAGCTGGAACGCACAGGGATTTTCTAGCTAATATTGAAAGTTTAGGAAGATCCAATGCTCTTATCTTCCAAAAATCTAAAACATCTTTAACATCAAAAATTAAAAGAATAAAATATATAATAATATTTATATACCTTTTCTGTAAATTACTAGCCTAATATATCATCTTGTTACACATCAAATGTTTTTATAGCAAATAATATTTATTAATTTTAAAAAATATATATAACACCGCTGAATTTTTACATCGGCGGCGGCGTGTTTAGCGCCGACACTTTTTGGCGTTGGCGTGGTCAAAAATCAGAGGTGGCGGCATATTTGACCTGTGGCGCACAGGTCTAGATATATCTTAATATAAAATAATTTATAAACTTGAATATAATAAAATATAAATCATATTAAAGTAAATTAGGTTGGGCACTAGTCAAAAAATTAAAGTATGCTGAAAAATATTTGAAGGAAACAGCTAAAAAAAAATGATAAATAATTATAATTTTTTTAAATAAAAATTTTAAACTTTTAATTGAATGAAATGAACACTGTTCAGGTTCACTGTGTTTTTTTAAAAACACATTTGTTTCACTTTTTGCCCAACCCTAGTGATAAACATAAAAGTAGCAGTATTATGAATTTGTAATTTCAATTACATTTAATATTCATAAAATTATTAACATAATATATTTTTTTAAATTATTCATAAGATGAACCGAAAGTACAAACTTGATAAAACTTTATTGCAAGGAATGATAACTGCCCGTCAATGTTCAATTGGAAATCCTACTTTTATAAATTTAAAGAATCTAGAAAAATATCTGGAAGATGTAGGGACACCAATTTATAGCATACCTTTGAACATATTATGTTAGTTTATCATTTTAAATAAGATAATAAGCAATGTGTACTCATGAATAATAAGGTCCTAACAATGATAGCAATTTAAAAATGTCCAAACACATATGCAAATCAATTGGAATGGTGAATTTTGTTAGATCCATACCATATCATGCAACTAGAAATTCTGTATTAATTCCTTTAGATCTATTATCTCAAGTTTGCTATCTTTATGCATATAATAAGTAGGTATCACTTATGTATTTTTTATATTTATCCTTGAAACATATCTAAATATTACCATAGACCACTAACCAAAAAAGTTCATTAAAATGAAGTGGATGTACAATGTTGATTTGCCTAATCATTTTTGATCTTAAAAAAAAGGCTAGAGCATTTTTTTTATACAATTATTATATTTTTTGCCATTTAATATTTATCTTCATTACTATTAAAAAATTATATAAAAGTCTATAATAAAATAAAATTATTTTGATGATATTTCTCTTTACCCCCCCCCCCCCTCCCCCACCAAAATTTTTTTTCATTTTTATGAAAATATATTATATCTAAATTTTAAAAAAATGATTTTGAAAATTAGGATAACTTTCTTAAGCTGTATTATCTTTAATACAACATTCTCAAGAGGCTTTTATAGATTATTACCCCATTATGTTTAAAATAAAGAGTCATCACAAAATACAGAGATTTATTATACAAATCAACATGGCACCTATTTTTGGTTACGTTTTTTTTATTTAGCTAGATCAACAAAGCCTATTATATATAAGCAATTTTGTGTAAAATTTTCTTTGTTTTTTTTTAAAATTTTTAGTTCAAAAAGTTATTATTTTCAATATGCTTCCGCCTAATTTAAACAGGCCTGCATTCATTTTTTATAAATTCGCAAAACGCTAGCATACTAACGGAAAAACTGTTAAAGTTAAAACGTTAGGTGAGGAAAATATAATAAATTAACATTTATAAAAAATTATAAATATGCTTCCAGAACAACTTAACCTCCAATGACGTTTTATCCATATGGCGAACCAAAGAATCTCCAATAAAAACGCTCACTAAAAAATATCCAGCAACTAATTCCATTCTCAAAAATTTATCACTCGTAATTGAACATAATTTGTACCAAGCACGCCAACTTAAACATCAAATACCATCAAGCGCCTTTTCCCTATTTCTTTGTACAGATATTATTGACACATTCTTAAAAAGGGTAAAAAGAAATGAATATAATTTCCTGGATACGTTGCGAATGTATGAATTACATGGCCGTAATAAATTGGTGAGACGGAATAGAAATTGGTTACCAGCCAGATTATTATGTAGGAAATTGCTAAAAATTTATTGATTTCCCAATTTTTATAATTTTTAGTCACTATAAACGCAATTGTTTCATAAGCACAAATATGTTAAAAATAAATATGAATTTTAAATAATATATCCTTTTTAAAAATTTAAAAAAAAATGTATTTTTTGTCAATCAAATTAGAATCTAATTTTTGATTAAAATAAATCAATATTTGTTGAAAAAAATGAAAGCAAGAAACGATTATTTGCAATATAGGTGCAATTTGATAACTATAGCAAAATATGATCTGAATTTAATGTAATTTTTAGGCTCATTCGCTCAAATTTTTATTCTTACCTTTCCATTTATCACAATTCTCGTAAAATAAAATAAATATATATTAAAGTATCGAAGGCTCTAAAAAGAGCTTATTTAGTAATGAGTGTGTTCATAAAAAACATGTATAAAAAAATTTCGAGTTGAAGTTTTTGTTTCAGAAATATAGATTCGCGTTATTCTTTTGATATTTTAAATATTTTCCGCTATAAAATTTAAAAAAAAAAGGTTTGTTGACTGGGAAAAATTGCCGTTAGTTGATATGACAATTGGCTGAATATGAAATTATTGAGTTTATTTTTATTTTATTATATTAGAATCTATTAACCAAATAATAACTAACTTTTTATAAAAAAAATTCTCTTAATCATTTGATTTCATTTTTATATCTACCCATTTCACTTAATTCTTGTTCTTCTTTCCTTATCTAAACCATTGCCTCTTGCTATTATTAATCTAATTGAAGTGCAGATTCTAATTATTTAAAATAATTATACCATTCACCTGCATCGATCTATGTCAATTATGATCAAACAGAATAGTAGCTAGGATTTTTCCATGGGGGTGTTAAAAATTTTAATTCCTTTGCCGGCAGCTATATTTCAAAATTTTTCTTTACCCTCATTCACGGTAGACCAACCAACTTTTTGGGTATATACAAAATCTAACAAAGCCTTTTTTTTCGCGTAAGTTTTAAAAAGATTTTTGATATGAAATAAAAAATTGGCCATTAATATTCCAACTAAAATCTTGCAAAAATATGTCATAACAATTAAATATGACCTTTTTTTCTGTGCGAAAGGGTTAAAATATTTTTGATATTTAAAAATATGAATACCTATTCAGCTTAGTGAAGTTGACCAACGATTGTTAGCACTAATTCTAAGATCTGTGGTAATATTTAGTGCGGTATTAAAATATTTTATCAATGTAATTCTTAATCAGTATATTTTTTTCAATAGTTTGGTGTAAAGAAATAACATTTTATTAGCAAAATATAAAAAAATTGACATCATGTCAGAATCAGAAAGGAAAATATTGAATCCTTAAAATCTGATCTACCTTAATATGAATCAAAAAATCTTAGTTAACAAAATTAAAGAAAACTATGACATATATTGGCATGATTTAACCAATAATTTTTTTTTGAATAAAAATAATGATTGGATTCAATTTTTTGTTTTATATAAATTTTAAATAATTATTAGATTTTTTTAAATGAAAATTTTTTACTATGGGCTTTTGTTTTGCCCAACTCTTTTTTATTATTAGCCTATAGACGTTTAAACAACAATCGGGCTGTTGTGCGTACAAGTAAGTGCGGCTTGCCCACAAACATGTGAAGGGCTTCTCATTTTTTCCCCCTAATTAAATATCCAGTTTGATGAATTTTTGAGGAAAACCTAGCGTAGCTCTATTGTACCCACAACCAGAAGGTGAAAACGCTTTTATCACGTATCATGTAATTAATATATAAATTTAATTATTTTACATAATGGTAATACCTAAGTTATTTTAATATAATTTTACTCCTAGGAAAAATAATTTTTTTAATATTGTTTAAATTTTAGGAGGCTTAAGAAATCTATAATACTTTTGATTGACCCTTTTTAAAATAAATATTTTGATACTAAGAATATGTATTACAGTTTATATAAAAATACTAGTTAAATTAAAATAATCAAACATTGCTTATATTAAATTTTTATGAAATATTGATATTTGTATAGACGGGCGTATAGTAACTAGTAAATAACCCGTCAAAAATGACGGGGTTGAGGGGTAATTTGTTTTTGTATATGGTGCTAAATATACTTTATTAATATATTTTATAAAAATATTAAAATTTAAGCGAAAAAGAGGTAAATTTGTGAATCACACTTCATAACATATTCTTAATTTCTGATTGATCTATCATCGAATAAGGGAGAAAAGTATGATGACCCGTCTTTCTTGAAATGAAAAATGTATAACTAAGAGTACCAGAGCTCCCGTTAGTCACCATTGCTGAGTCCATCAAAAATGACGGGGAATGAAAATTTTCTCCTTACTCTTATGATAGTTGTTACCTGTTATTTGAAAATAATATCCAATTTTTATTCTTTATAACCCCCTCCCACCTTTAGGCCAGGTCCAATTTATTAAAACTAAGTTTAAATGCTATGTTTTGAGTCAAAATATATTTAAAGCTTTACTTGATACCCATATCAATATTATTTGTTAAAATAAAACTGATCATCTTTACCTAATATTTAGTATTGAAAAAATTCCCAAGCAAGGTCCAAGGCCATAATAATTTTGAAAAAATTTCCACAACTCCAACCAAAGATAATAATTTTAGTAGTTAAGAACTGGAATAAAATATTTTAAAAAATCATAATGAATTTAAAAATACAATCAGAATTAGATTTTATGGGCCTTGGTTTATATGTTTTAAATCAATGTCTGATCCATAGTTAATAAAAAAAATTCCCAAGATCCAAATGAAAAATTTTCCCCAAGCGTTGCCCAATATAATTTACAAAAATATTTTCCAAGCCCAACCCGACCCATTATAATTTTAAAAAAAATTTCTTAAACCTGGCCAACCGATAATAATTTTGTAATTTTTTTCAGCTTCCAATAAAAAAAATATAATAATATTTTCCAAGCCCAGTCCGACCCATTATAATTTTAAAAAATTTTCTCAAACCTGGCCAACCTATTATAATTTTGAAAATTTTTTCAGCTTCCAGCTTTAAAAAATTTTTCTCAAACCTGGCCAACCGATAATAATTTTGAAATTGTTTTCCCAAACCTGGAGCTTCTAATAAAAAAGATAAATATTGATATATTTTATAGTTTCATATATAAGAAGAATTGTATTACAAAATTTAATATGGGGGTGACTGGAAACAACGTTTGTCTATCGAACATTAGTGGTTTGAACGAATCTCGTTTATGTATAAAAAAGAATTTTAAAAATAGTTTTCTTTTTTTAAAAAAAAAAAATTTAACATTAGAAGGTGTATAGTCTCTTTAGATTTATTTAACATTAAGATGATAGGAAAGGATAGAAAAAATTAACATTAAGGTTATACGAAAACGTTCATTTCTTGATTACGGCGGTTATATATATTAGATTAGATCTTATTTGATACAATATATTTTGGTCAATATCATTATAGTTAATTCATAAATTTCATAGGAAACAAACGTTTAAAATAATGAAATAAATGTTTTTTTTCTCGAGCTATTTAAAAATTGTGATTTAATAAAAAAAATTGATTATTTTATTTTTATAAAAAAGTCAATTTATAGAGTCAACGACACTTTTGAAAACAATAATTCTGAAGCTTATTCGAAACTATTAACTAGTGCTTTATGATACATTATCCGATAGGTAGATAGTTTAAAGAAAGAAATAATGGCCGAATAAGAATGGCATCGTAATAAAACGAAAATCATAATGATACTAAAATCAATTTTTATAAATTTCTAAAAAAATGTTATTTTTTGGTTTGAAATACTTAAAAGGTTGAAATAATTAACTATTTATTTATTAAAAATATATCTAATCATATTATAAATGACTTATTAAATCCAATTTCGTAATATATAAAAAAAATTAATATCAATATATTAAATTCTCTAGCATATTAAAAAATATGTGACTTAGTGGCGGTGTTAGATAGATCCTTAAAAAATAGAAAGCTTCTTTATAAAATAATGTATCTTCGATACAGATACAAGTATCTTATTAAATATATAAATAATGGCAAGATGTAAATCTATTCCTTCTGAAGAATAACCCATAGTCCATTCTTCATAAAAAATTAATATTGGCGGTTTCCCATCCAACTGCTATAAAGGAATTGTGTGTGACCAAACACTAAAAGTGGAAATGGAGAGATGTATAATCAACAAAAATGCCATGTATATGTTTTTTGTTTCAACGAGCGGATAGATTAATGACATCAAACTACAAATTATTCCTCCAGAGAAACTCAAAATTTTTTAAGTTGTTTAGAATTGTTTTTATTATCCAAAACATGATATTTCGATGTCTTTGATAAAATATTCTTACGATTTATATAAATGTAAAAACCAAACGAGATATAATTTTTTTTTAATCAAATACAATCAACAGAACTAAATTATCCAAATATTACTATTTTTATCAAGTATACTGTCTCCAAACGACAATCCAAAATGTTTAAATATATTTTATTTCATCCAATAAAAGATGATTTTAATACAATGATTAAGATAAATACGCACAAGAAATCCTAACATTGAATTATCTTATTTGGATACAACAGAAAAGTTGGTATGCTAAAATATAAAATAATAATGAATATTAATTTAAAATATAACTATAGAAAAGAAAAATATTAAAATTAATGCAAGAATCCAAGGATAGTAAAGGTGAATATTTAATTTTTTGAACAAAAATATTAAAAAATATCTTAATCAGCATCTTGTCAAAAAAATTAAAAAGATAAGCATGTTTTTAAAAAAAGTACTACTTAGAAACAGATAAGTATCTTATTAAAAATTTTAAAAGATGTAGAATACAAGATACAAAAGAATCTTTTATCTTAGATATGATTATACCTAAAATGAATTATTCAATTTAATTTTTATTTTACAAATATACGAATAAAAAAATTATCCAAATCGTATAAAGAATAGTTTTTCATTATTCGATCGAATTATTCGAAAAAATTCGTAATTATTCCTAAACATTAATTATTCATTAATAGAATTTATTCGTAAATATTCAACATTTTCCTTGTGGAGTATTTTTA